AATCGTGTTGTGATAATGGTCTTAAGTCATTTTGTTGTATAACCATGTGCCAGCAAGCTCATTCCACCCAAGGCCAGGGACACATTCCAGTGGGCACCACTTACTTTCACACCGCTGTGCTATTTCCAAGGGCTTCTGCAGAGCCAAGTTGCCAACAGAGTGGGAATTTCATTTAAAGGGAGCCATTACACTGCCAGGCTCTCTAAGTGGCACGGCACTATTTTCAAACAAGACTGCCACTGTGACAAGGTGCAGGAGAAGGGCTGGGCTGGCTGCTCCCCAGGCTGTGATGGATGTCTCTGGTGGCTAGAGGGGGGATGCAGCAGTAAATTGCATTACACTGTTGACTACTTGTGCTGTAGCAAAAGGATGCAAGATGGAGCACCAGCACCTAATGCAGCCACTTGGCAAATCAACTCCTTGAGGGCTGACCTCAGAGTCAAAGAAGAGTCTTATGGGCTGTCATGTCCAACCTCCCATATGAAAGTGGCCTGAGTATTTCATCCCATTAGCCTGTACTGAGTTCAACTTGCTTACAGATATAAAACAGTAGTAGCCACAGACAGCACGATGGGGAAAAGCCTTGACTCCATCACTGCATACTCTAACGCTCCAGGCTCACCATGTGTCCAGGCTTGCATCCCACAAGGCCTCAAATAACTTTTCCTGGCTTTGGGGTGAACTGAAAGGAGTGCAGCAGCATGTGCCACCCCTGCAGAGCCCTAGGTACTCTGCCCTGGCAGCTATGTACTTTTGGAAAACACCAGGAAAGGAAAGAAGCGAGAACGGAGAAAGAGCTGGATGGCATGGCCTGCTGGCCAGGTCTGCCACCAAGCGCATACTGGTATGTGACTTTGGACAGTGTTGAGTGGGTCACTCTCAATATTCATCTCAATAACCCATTTCAAATGGACAAGTACAGCAGAGCGCTCTGCCACTTTCCTGTTCTTCTGTCCCCTTCCCCACAGCACAGAGCTCCTGGCTCCAGCCCCAACACAATGCTACCCCTTTTATTTTACACAAAGTGTTGGTCTCCCTTTCCTGCAGCCCACAGAAGGCACTGCCTGCTGAAACAGCAAAAATTGGACTTGGAAATAGCAAGTAATTATTATAAATGAGAGCAACTGGAGTAAGCAGATGAGGAGCACGAGCTGAGCCTGCTCCTAGGTCAGTGTCATGGCGGTTCCTCCCCCACCTTAGGCCAGGGGGAAGTTCTGCTAAACAGGCAATGAAGAGTTTATCCACTTTTCATCTCTCTGCTATGAAAACCAAGCAGGTAAAACCATCCAAGTTTTAATCTTGCAGTGGCATCACAGCACTGAAAAGCCCATGTTCAGCAACTGGGCTGAGACTCGAATTGGGAAAGGCAGTGAGGTCCCCATCCCAGGGCCAGCTGGAGGCACTGGCATGACAGGAACTTGAACACTCTCAAATTCCTAGACAGTTTTTGGCATTGTTCATTTTTAACAGTTTCTCCCCTTCTCTCAGTTCTCTTTGGATTTTGCAAGTGTGCTTTTTGCAGACGGATTCAGCTGTGCTGTGAACAGGGATGGGGCTGCACAGCTGTTCAGTCACCCACAGGGCAGTTGTGGCTGGCAGTACTTCAGGCAGACACAGCTGGGTTTAGCAATTGTGAAAAGTGCCAGACAGACAGACACCCTTTTCAGACCCTCAGGGAAGCCCATGCTCCCACATACCCTTCATCTACCAAGAAGCAACTTGCAAAAGGTGTGAGGTAGCTCAGCTCCTATGAGAGAAATGCAAGCAAAAGCACGTGTATAGGCTATGGCTGATGGAGAGGGAACTTCACAGTAACCAGCACATTGCCTCCAGCAACAGCTTCCAGCTGCAAAAAGCCAGGGGTCCCTGGAAACATGACCTCCTGGCTGCCACACTGCCCTCTCAGCCACAGGTCAGGTCCCAATCCCTCTCTCAACACCATGCAAATGCCATTAAAGGAGGAAGGAGGCAGTTGGAGTGAGAGTGAGGAGGCAGGGGGAAACCTTCTGTTAAGACTGTGGAAATTTTCAGTGAAATGAAAACAAATTGCTCTAAGTAAACCATTTGTCACAGTCTGATTACTCTGCTGCCACTCTGGGAACACCAATTTGTCATGCTAGATCAGGATAACAGCAGGCTGACTGTATGAAATGGCACGCTGCCTTCTGGCTCTTTCTGCCTGCAACCCACAAGGGCAGCGGGGATCTCCTGCAGCTCCTTCCCGGTGCCCATCCCTCCTGATAGCACAGGCACACACTGGGGTCCCTGCAGTCAGTGTCACACTGCTGATAGACTCCTGCTTCCCAGAAAGCACCTCCATCTTCTGGAACTGCAGCTCCACCTGAGTCCTGTCGAATCTGCTGTTTTTACCTATTTATCCCAGTGTGTCTACCTAAACTACAAGGTGTCCACAGCAGGAATTATTTCTTGCACTAGTGGTTGGCATAATACTGCCCTAAACTGAATTTTGGCACTGAAGTGTCCTGGCTATACACCTATTAATCATAATTTTTCTTACTTTAAAAGCCCATATCTCCTGTTAGTTACACCTTCGGGAATGCCATGTCCAAGCCTGTGGAGTCCCAACCCACATTTCCCCCTCCTTGGTGAGTTTCAACAGTGTATAGGTGAAACAATAAAAAAACCCTAAACAAACACAGAGAAAACAACAACAAAAAAATGTTGCGAGATTCACATTTAAATAGATGCTTAAAGAAGGAGGATCAATGCAAGGAAGCAAGAAGCAAGGACTAGCCAAAATTCATAAAGCATGGGAAAACAGCAGAAAAAATTCCAAGTGCAAGAATTAATTCCCTTAGCTTCACTGTCCATAGCTAATAAACAATTATTTGAGTCTCCCCTGCTTGTGTCTTTCTGGAACTGTGCAGCAGTTTGTAATGCTGAAAACAAAACAATTAACTCCAGACCAAATAAAAATATCTTTGAGACAACAAAAAGATAAATACCTCGAAATGTCACTTTGCATAAATGCTCCATTCAGTCCAACACAAAATTCTTCATCTCATTTTCAGATTATTGATCCTTTTTCTAAACCTATTCTCCTTTTAAATTGGTAGGTCAACATTTAAATAAAGAGATGCCTTTTTGAAAGGAAAGCAAAACAACAAACAAGTTTTGTTTGCAAACTACAGGAATGAACTAGCTGAGAATTTCCTTTTTCTTTAACATTAATAAATTAAAAGGGGAAAATCAGAAAGATATTAGATTTTAGAACTTCTCATTTCCCCTTTTGGGGCTATTAGGGCTTGGCAGGTCCCCACTGAGTCAGAAAACTATACCAGTTGCCTTCCATTTTCTGATATATTCATTATTTGTCAAGAGCAGTAATGAAGGTGAACTTGAAAAGCTGGATAAAATCTTTTATGATACATTATTTGTTTTACAGGGTGGAGATTTCAGTCCTTGTATATTTGAAAAATATTTAGCAGAAAGGGACAGTTCTCTAGGTATAAGTTTCAGCTAAATATTGTATAGCAGTAATAATAATAAAGTACTGTGCCACTTATTATGGCAATGGATTACATTATAAATGCATGGTGTTTCCATGGATTAGGAAAACAATCTCTGGGACCACTTCTAAGGAACACTGAAGAGGTAAGAAAGGAAAGAAAAGGCATATATGTTCCACAGCAATCAACACACTTGCCATTCCCAAATGGGTCCACATTACAATGGGTCAACATGGTAGATACAATTTTCAGGACTCAACAAGAAATAAACCCCTACTGATTTAAGCATTATAATATAATGCCTACAAGGAGATCATAATTTTCTAAATCTTAATAGTTTTCTGAATCCACTTTCACAAAGTTTTAAGTAGCTACTTCCCAGTCACAGGGATTAATATGAGTGGTTACTGCAGCTAAGAGAAAAAGTTTTATGGTGAGGAAGCTACCTGATTACCAACAGTCCTTTAGGTCCCAATAAAACAGCAAGAGCTGGTTTTCTCATCCCATCTCTGGGTGGGTTCCAGAATATCACACACTGAAACCAGCACAAGTGAAATGTTGGCAAAACAAGAGAGTAAATCACAGCAGTGAGATATCAAACTACAAACTACTACTTTCCCCCCCGCAGAGACCATTAGCTCTACCATGATAGTCACCACCCTAAGTCATCAATTCACCTTCACCTTTTTAGTCACAAGCATCTGTTACCAGCCCAGCACAGCTCTGGCAGTGAGCACACTGCAAGGGAATGGAGAGAGAGTGCTTGTAATTCCAAAGGCAGGTTCAGTGTGTGCTTCTCTAGTTCAGTGAGCATTGAGACACTCCTCCTTACTGTGGCATTGCAAATTCCAATTGAACTGGAACCAACTTGTATTTTCTAACTGCTGCTGCTGAGTTTGAACTTCAGTGAAAAATCTATTTGCTAGAAATGAAAGTTGGCAATGAATAATCAGTCTGTTTATGTGGCTTAGGGAAGCTGAGACAGAGAGACGGAGAGAAAGAAAAAGCCAAATAACTCATTAAGTGATCTATATCATGCCAGTACAGTTGGTATAAATTATAATTATCCTAGTAAGACTTTCTCACTTATATAAGCCCCCCCATTCAGGGATCTCAAAACACTTTGCAACCATTAATGATGTTAACTTCATAACATTCCTGACCTCATTTACAGGAGAGGGAATTGAGGAAAGAGAGAAAACACCACCATTTTCTGTAACAGATAGCTTTCATTTTGTAATTGCCTGTAAAGTTTATACCTGAAACTAAATCACACTTAAAAATCAAGGTCAGTTCTGAGCTCTTGAGCCAGCAGTAGGCATTGCATTACAGTGTGAGTGAAAAAAAACCCCAAAACAACCCAAACTAACACAAAGACTTGTGCTGGGATGGCCTGTCTGCAAAGCTTCTGCAAAGAGCCTTGGGTCACTGAAATTTGTCACCTTGGAAACGTGGCAGACTCAAGGAGCAAGCTTCTGCCTCAGGTTCTCACACAAAACCATCCCTCCCCCTACCTGAAACTGTACTCACACGTGGGATGGGTGTTATCAGTGTCCACTTCTGCACATTCACAACTCTCGGTTTTGGCTCCTGCTCTGAAAAGAAAAATTAAAGAGAAGCAACATGAAAACCTAGGAAAAGAAAAAAAACCAAATTGGAACAAATAGCTGAACACATTGCATGTATGCACCTAGGAGAAAGCAGGACTTGAGTAGCATTCACCATGGATTTCTCAAGAACAAATTGTGTCAAACCAAAAATAATTTCTTCCTGAGAGGTGACAGGTTTTGCAGGTAGAACAACAGCAGATGCCACACACACTGACTTTACCTATTGTTTTTTATAGCAGTCTCACAGATAAATGAAGGAAGTGTGGAGATTTCACATTGTGGGAAGAATGCAAAAGTGGTTGGAAAACAGCACTTGGGAAAGCAGTTATCAATGTTTCAGCATCGAAATAGCAGAATGGACCCACGTGTTCCACTGGGAGTTGCCCTGTGTCTAGGACTATTGAATACTTCCACTAATGATTTGGATGATAAAACAGGACCATACTTATTAAATCTGCAGATCATGCCAATTAAGGGAGAGCAACCCATAAGGATGAACAGACTTGGAACTGAAAATTATTTAACAAATGAGAGCTCTAGCCACAACAACCAAATGTGCTTTAACAGGCCTGAGGGCTTGTTTTCCCTGTGAGGTTCATGAAACAACCCTCCTGCTCTCTTCAGCAGGGAGAAGGCCCTGGAGAAGCACCACATTTGGGTTCTGCATTTCCAGACAATCAGATGCCATCAGGAAAGAGTTTAATTGGAGCACTGAACAGGATCAGAGGTCCAGAAAAAAAAATTTCTGTGGAAAGCACTACAAGAATTTGAGGAGTTTGATCTGAAATGGAAAAACTGAGAGAGGAACCAGTAACAGTCTTCTGTAAAAATTCTGTTTTCTACTTCTGTGATGGATGGCCTGTCAGAGGAGAGTTAGAAGGACAAGAGAGGTTGTTGCACTGGACTAACATCGTAACTATTAACCCAACAACCCATTCCCTGCTGGGCTCCCAAGTCTAAGTTTGTCTCCATGGACTATACAGGACTCTTCCAGTGATATTAGCCTTTTAAGCTAAAGTTGGCCTTTAGAAATAATTCACCTGTGTTATATCTGTAAGTTCATTTGGGCCTGTTGCAGGGTTTGTGTTGGACCAAAAAGGCCATTAGGCTTGTGCAGTAGTTTTGAACCAGATAAGGTTCAAAATTAATGGAGAATTCACCTTCTATATTGGGGCTGAAAGAAGAATCCCGGTAACAAAGAGCAGAGGGGTGGAGTCAGTTGTTCTACGGCAGAAACCCAAAATCTATAGCTTGCCATATTTGCTAATTGTTTAGTAAAAATCAATTGCCAGGAATGTCACAGGAAGCCGAGCATCGTTGAGAGCACTGGGGACAGAGACACAAAGAGGACATAAACAGCAGAACAAAGTGCCCCAGGAATGGAGCTGCTGCCACCCAGCACTGCAAACTGCTGTATTTCTTCTGCTGTGGTGCAGAAGAAACTGCAGCAGAGCATGGCTGAGCCATGCCATCACCCTTCACCCGGTGCCTCTAAAGAGTCTACAAAAACATATTTGCATTGGCAGCTCAAATTTTAGAGTTTTACAGAATAAGTATCTTAAGGCAGGGAGGAGTTTGTTGGGGTTTCCAAAACTTTTCTTCTGCAAAAAGAGAAAAATTTTATCATTATAGACCACCCATGTTAGAGAGGAGTCATCCCACAAATTCTCCTTTGTGTGGCTCTTCTCTACTCAGCTATACTAATCTAAAAACGAAATTAACTTTCTTGCTCCCACCACTGAAATTCCCATCCCAACCAGATAGCCAAATAATGTTAATACTAATTTTAATTCTGAAAAGCATACCAAAAAAAAAGGAGAATTTTCTCATTATTAATGGAAGAAAAGCCCTATTTAGCATATCTAAATGAAAAGTGTAAGATCGATAACCCATACAATAGCAATCATGAAAAAGCTACAAGATGGAATTATTCTCTCAGGACTTTTATCAAGGTAGTTACCATACATTAAATGTGAAATCCACCCAGAAATCACTCAGAGAATTCAGTATTCACATACTTCTCTACAGTAAATAATTCCCCCTGCAACAGTAAATGTTCTCTGTTTATGACTCCATAATTCAGGTTGTGTCAGCAATTAGCATGTGAAGTTTTAGGCAGTGTGCTACATTTTTTTAAGAGTTAGAGCAAGGTGAGCATTGCAGGAAGCCAGGCTGCTGCTGGGTTTGCTGGAACAGAGGCCAGCACAGACAGTGAGCAGTAGTGCTGGCTCCTGGAAAGATGGACACAAGGAGAAAGGGGATGTGGACAGCCCACACCCACACAAAGCACTTCTTCAACTGCAAGATGTTCCAGTGGCCTCAAAGGAACTGAAGGCATGAAGATGCTTCCCACATGGCAAACACTGCTGTACACTTCAGGAGAACTAAAACGAAGACTTTCCTGTGCAAGTTGAAGCCAGCAAAGTCTGTTACCCAGGGTAACACCTTTGTCAGAGGGACATGAATAGCATCAAGCACTTTATTCTTTCTGTTTCAAAAGTTCTCTTAATTAGGTATTACCATGTGTTTTTCATTGTGGAGAAGCTGCTTTAATTACTCCTAACAGTCACTGGAGGGAATTACTGCTCTACAGAGCAGATCAGCATTCTCCTGCCTCATACTCATGACAGGAAAAGTGCAGTGTCACGTAAAAATACATTGTGGTATTTATCAGCTAGTCTTCTACAAGCAAGAACAGGCTCACATAAGGTCCAGTGAAATCTAGAGAGGAAAACAACCCCCTTCTTCCATTTAGCTGTTGCAACACTGGCTTATGCTCATGGTAAATCAGTATCTTAGGCAACATGCAGCATAAGAGGGGACATTCATTTCCCTCCCTGTCTCTGCCTCTAGCAATTTTGCTATGCTCCTGAACTCTGGGTCTGTGCAGGGAACATGCTGGGGAATGAGGTGAGCAATTGTGTATGATCTAAAATTTGTCTGACTCCTCCATGTCCAGCACTAAGCTATGTTTCCTAAGGCATGAATTTTGAAGGTAATATATTTGTGTTTGCCAAAATATTAATCTATCTGGCCATTTTAAAATCATAGAAGTGGAGAAAAAAAGCACTTTTAAAATGGTACTTTGGAAGCCATATGAAAGACAGCTCAAGCCTTCTCTCGATGGAGCCAGAGGTACAAGTCAGTATATAAGAATATCTGAATAGGAGTAGATGAGCACGAACTCCAAAGGTGGTACCACAGACAGGGAACATCCTTCAAAGTCTATTAGTTGCATTAGCAGACAATACAATGTAAGCGTAGTAGGAGAGATGCACTAATACCCTTGGACAAGGTTTGCAGGGTGCTGGCAATGCAGAACACCTGTAAGATTCAGCTTTGACAGACTGAAGCTGTTGCAATCATTTAATGTCATAAATTTACCAAAGAAGCCAGAAGAGTGGAAAATGGAAGAGTGTATTGGGCAGATAACTCACATCAATTATTTATTTCTACAAAGTTCCCAAGTCTGACATCAGAAGTCTGCATTAAATAAATGAGTTTCTTTCCATATTCATTAAAATAATTGCTATTTTCATTGCACTAATGATATGAATTCATTACTACTGCACAGTGTCTATACATATTCTCATGAACTGATTTTATGCATTGTCATTTGTAACTAAATTAGCAGTAACGGGCAAAAGAAATCCCAAAACTTATTATGGTAACACTATTTGGAATAGATCCTGATATCCTTCTTTAAAGATGCTTGTCGTTTATTAGACATTTCTGTGGGACCACAGGTGTCTGAAACCAACGGGAGTAAGGGTTCAGGTGGAAACTAGCCAGTCAAATATGGGGTGCATAGTCCACTTCAAAGCCTACTGTGTTGGCAAACACAAACTTTAGTTAGAAAGCCACAACTGAAACCTAAAACCTTAAGCAAATCTTGCTGGTCTCTAACCAAATGCCCAGAGAGAACATTTCAGTTATCAGGACACAGCACACAGAGACATAAAAATATTCAATCACCAGGGGATAAGGCTACACAAATTTAGGTCACATTAAACATTATTTTCTCTTTATAGTGAGGAGTAATTAACCACTGAAACAACTGGCCAAGGGACTTGATACAAGCACTTGATGTCTTGAAAACTAGACAGGACATCTGTTTTTTAAAAGCTCTGTGGTAACACCTGCTTGACACAGGAATGAGCATAGGACAAAACACTATGGGCTGTTTTATTCATTAGGTCATCTTAAACCACAGTACAGCATTGCTACAAGCTGTAGGGTCTGATATCATATGAAACCCTTTGGTACTCCTGCAACCAACCCTCCTCTAGCAACATATTAAGTACGTTGAATATTTATTTGAAAGGTCTCAGATTTTCTGATGAAGAACAAATCATCCTCATTGCATATTCGCAGCTGATTTTACAAACCACAAGGCCAGATCCTCAGCTAGAATAAATCACTGCAGTTCCACTGATGTAAGTGGAATTTGATCATTTGTCACGAGATGAAAAATCTGAGTCCCTTATCACAGGCACTTATATATTTCCCAGTTTTCCCACATTACTCATGCAAATCTCCCAATGATTTCCATGTAAGGCTGTGAACAGACATCTCTACATCTTCAGTGCTGCATTCTGGACTTTCTCTAGCACTTCCTTGACAATTCTGTTTATTCAAATTTTGTCATGTGTGCACCTTGTTTTCAGCAGGTTTTGTCAGTGCTTAAAGGGAATAATCAAGCCAAGAGCTAACCAGCAAACAAATAGACTTAATGAGGTTATAAACAGGATTAGCACTTCAAGAGGACAGGTCAAATGCAGATGGGCACTCAAGGGACAGATTTCACCATCAAGGCAGGTGTGCCATGTTAAGGAGGGATGGGGGAGCTCTTAATGCTGTGTTTCTAACCAGAGATCTTGAAAATACAGTATTGCATAGTGGAAACTGAGTGTTTATAAATATTTATACAAGTGAATTCAGTAGGAACGATGACACTATTGTTTTAAGATATTATTCTCCTTTGC